GGCAGAGGGACACGCAGTGGAATAGAGGAAGGACGAAGTGCCATCTGGTGCGTGCCGGGGACAGGAGGAGGACGCGGACGCGGAACACGATGACCAGTGCGACCAGCGCGAACAGGCGACCAGGCTCACCACGCTCAGTAAGACCTCCGAGCTGCTCAGTGTAAGGAGAAGGAGGAGGCAGCGGAGGGGCTGGCAGGAGCTGTGGCTGGGACTGGTCAGGCGGTGGACACAGGAAGGGAGGAGCAAGGTCAGTAGAAGGCGGGAGACCAAGAACCTGCTGAAGCAGTGGAACAAAGTACGGTCGCGGTCGCACAGCACCCACAGCACTAGCACCAACAGCACCAGTACCTCCACCAGCTCCAGCTGCAGCAGCAACTCCTGCTCCAGCTCCAGAAGTACCTCCAGCTCCAGCAGCTCCAGTACCTCCAGCAGCTCCAGCTCAAATAGCACCTCCAGTAGCTCCTGTAGTACCTCCAGCCCTAGCAGCTCCAGTACCCCCAGTACGAGCACCTCCGGGACTAGTGGCTCCAGCACTTTCGGCAGCTCCAGCTCCAGCAGCACCTCCAGCAGCTCCAACTCCAGCAGCACCAGCACCTCCAGCAGCTCCAGTAGTACCTACAGCCCCAGCAGCTCCAGTACCCCCAGTACGAGCACCTCCGGGACTAGTGGCTCCAGCACCTCCAGCAGCTCCAGCTCTAGCAGCACCACTCCAGAGGCTCCAGCGCTGAGCAAACCACTCGCGCAGCTGCACTGGAGAGAGAGACTCCGGCCGCGACAAGGCACCCTAAGGGCCTCCAGGCTCAGCACACTCGGGCTCAGCACCCCCAGGCTCAGCACCTCCAGGCTCCGCACGCTCAGGCTCAGTACCCCCAGGCTCCACACCCGCAGGCTCAGCACCCCCAGGCTCCGCACCCTCAGACCCAGCACCCCCAGGCTCAGCACCCCCAGGCTCCGCACCCTCAGACTCAGCACCCCCAGGCTCAGCACCCCCAGGCTCTGCACGCTCAAGCTCAGCACACCCAGGCCCCGCACCCGCAGGCTCAGCACCCCCAGACGCACCACCTCGAGCAGCACCAGAGTCGACAGCTACCTCGACAGGCTCGAGAGGGTCTACCTGGGACACACCTGAGGGAGCAGGACCCTGAGGGGGGAGGGGGTCTACCGGAGGAGGACCTGGTTCAAGGAAGAGCGGCGGAGGAGGGAGAGGGACAGTGCGGTAGGGGAAGAGACGGTAAAAGGGAACCGACTCGTCAAACGTGACGTCCTGAGAGGGCAGGACACGGTGCGAGCTGGGGTGGTAGAACTGCCAGCCAGACGCGCCAAGGACAAAGCGAAGGAAGACACAGGGAACGGCGCAGGAGGAGAGCTTGTCCGCGGACGTATCGCGGACAAAGGCTCGACATCCCCAGGCCCGGAACACAGACGCATCGCCAACCTCCCCCGTCCAACGCAGTGTGGGCGAGGTCTCTGGCAAGGAGACACGGGGCCAGAGGTTGAGCTGATGCGCAGCGCACTGGTGTGCAAACGGCCACAGAAAATGGGGGGCAGCCGCATGGATCATGGAGGTACGAGCGACCTCCATGACTAAGCCAATGGGGCGCTCTGCATCCCCATTCTGCTGCGGAGAGGCCGGAAGCGTAAACGTCTGGCGAATGCCCTCCGCACGACAGAAGGCCCGCAAGAGGTCGGAGGAAATCTCACCACCTCTGACAGAGTGCAGACGCAGGAGTGGAAGGTCCGTCTCGAACCACTCGCGGAGCTGGAGACGAACAGCGCGGATCCAAGGGATCAGAACATTAGGGACCTCCCCCTTGCGGCGCAAGGGGAAGATCGTGGTGTAACACATGTAGTCGTCGACAACCAGCAAAAAGTACCGCTCGTGGCCCTATCCACGGACGCGGGCTGGGCCCCACACGTCCATGTGGAGAGTCTGCAGGGGAGCCTCTATCGGGGGGAACGAGGAGGAGTGAGGAGCGGCGTGCTGCCGCCCCTCGACACAGGGAAGACAAGGAGGGGCAGGCGAGGGTGGGAGGGGAGGCAGAGACCTAGGAAGACCAGAGACAAGGAGACGGGAGTGCATGCCACGAAGGCGTGCCACAGAGGGGTGACCAAGTCGGTGGTGCCAAAGGAGCGTGTGGTGCGACAGGGCGCAACACAAGCACGGGGCAGCAAGCTGACCTGACGCAGACGCAGACGTAGCTACATGAGGAGGCGCAGTAGTTAGTATGTACAGACTCGACCCAGGCCGACGGGTGAACGTGGCCAGGTGGCGACTGGTCCGGGAGCACGTACAGATTGCCACACGCTGCCGTCCAGGGCCCTCTGCACTCGAATTCGCACCGCGAGCACAGAGGGCCCTCTGCACTCGAATTCGCACCGTGAGCACAGAGGGCCCTCTGCACTCGAATTCGCACCGCGAGCACAGAGGGCCCTCTGCACTCAAATTCGCACCGCGAGCACAGAGGGCCCTCTGCACTCGAATTCGCACCGCGAGCACAGAGGGCCCTCTGCACTCGAATTCGCACCGCGAGCACAGAGGGCCCTCTGCACTCGAATTCGCACCGCGAGCACAGAGGGCCCTCTGCACTCGAATTCGCACCGCGAGCACAGAGGGCCCTCTGCACTCGAATTCGCACCGCGAGCACAGAGGGCCCTCTGCACTCGAATTCGCACCGCGAGCACAGAGGGCCCTCTGCACTCGAATTCGCACCGCGAGCACAGAGGGCCCTCTGCACTCGAATTCGCACCGCGAGCACAGAGGGCCCTCTGCACTCGAATTCGCACCGCGAGCACAGAGGGCCCTCTGCACTCGAATTCGCACCGCGAGCACAGAGGGCCCTCTGCACTCGAATTCGCACCGCGAGTACAGAGGGCCCTCTGTACTTGAATTCACACCGCGAGTACAGAGGGCCCTCTCCTCCTCCTCCTCTATCCCATGTATTTGCTCTGAACCTGTCCGCTTTGCCTTGGCCTCAGTGGTCCTAGTGGTCAGGGGCTATGTGCTGCGGGGCAGGGCAGCTCCCGGTCAATTCACTTCCCATTCCCCACCAGGTCCCAATGACAGGGGTGGTGGTGGATGCACGCTTTGCCTTAGCCTCAGTGGTCCCAGTGGTTGGGGGCTATGTGCTGGGGGGCAGGGCAGCTCCCGGTCAATTCACTTCCCATTCCCCACCAGGTCCCATTGACAAGGGTGGTGGTGAATGCACGCTTTGCCTCGGCCTCAGTGGTCCCAGCCCAGTGGTCGAGAGCTACGTGCTTGCAGTGGGGCATTCCTCCTACCTGCTCAATACGTGTCTCCCGTCCCGAATCCCATTAACCCTATCTCCCCCGCGAGTCCCATTGACAGGCGTGGTGGTGGTGAATGCTGGCTTTGCTTCGACCTCGGTCGTCCCGGTGGTAGAGGGCAACATGCCGCGATTGGCATGCCCCCATCCCTGGCCATTCTTCATCATGCGTTATACATCCCTGTGTTCCCATTTCTCCGCTCCCCTGCAGGTCCCAATGACGGATGCGGGCTTTGCTTCAGCCTCAGTGGTCCTAGTGGTCGAGGGCTACTCTCTACTCTCATCCCATGCGCACATCTCTCTGCTGGTCGAGGGCTATGTGTTGGGGGGCAGCTCTCAATCCATGTCTGTGGGGGGCGCGCACTCTACTTTGTGCAGCAGCTCATGAGGGTAATGCTGGGGTTGGGTAGGGGGTGGTGCAGCACCTCTCCCAGTTGTCGAGGGCTACGTGTTGGGGTTGGGGGAAGCTCCTGATTCATGCCTGTGGGGGGGGTGCCCACTCTACTGCCTTCGTGCAGCAGCTCATGTGGGTAATGATCATTCTCATGCTTCTCTCAAGTCAACACTGTCCACTGCTTCTCCTTTCAAGCATGCATCTCTCTGCTGCTCAAGGGCTACTCGTTGGGGGGAAGTTCCCGGTCGGGCCATGCCGGCCGGTTGGGGGTGCTCACTCCACGACCTTCGTGCAACAGCTCATGCGGGTAAAGGGCGTTTTGATGCCGGCCAGCACTGTCAAGTCAAGTCTGTCTAGTTCGTCTTCTTTCAACCAAGCACGTTATGGTATGCTTCTATGTTCTATGAGGTTTTATATGGTTTTGTATGGTGTCTTCACCCTATGGAATTCTGCCAAGGGCAAACAACACAGTGTAACTAACCAAATGGTAATGCTAGCCTCTCGCATGCCCTATCCCATGCCCTATATCATGCCCTATCCCATGCCCTCTCTCATGCCCTATCCCATGCCCTATCCCATGCCCTATCCCATACTCCACCCCGGAGCGCGACTCGCTGGAGTGAACCAGACCCCTTCCGAGATCTACTGGGCGTCCGGCGCGAACTTCACCGCGATGGAACATGCAGGCGTTATGCTGGTGAGGAACCGTTGTTGTGTCTTTGCCCAGCATCTGGTGCAGTGGTTTGCTGTTTGTAAACTAGGAGGGAATGTTCGGAGTCTCTTAAATAACGACAAGTACTACCTTTCCAAAATGATGGCAGGTCGCTCCGTTCGTGGTGGAGGGCACCGGCACGTTGGCGAGCCGCAAGACGCTCGTGGCCATTCTTGAATGGCACGAGACCTATGTCCAGGCGCCATACCACACCAACCAAACTCTGAGCGAGTTCGACACCGCGACACGCAGGCATGTTGCCAAGCTGACACTGTCTCTTTCAACGCCTCATGCATGTCATTGTTCTGGGCTACACTACTTTTTTCCACCATGCACCTTGACACTCCCAAAACAACCCCCAATCCCCGTGTTCCTCGTATTCCATTTCCCTCCGTCGCTCCCAGTTCTACATCTGTTGTTCACCAGAGCATATCACTCAGATCTAGGAAGCGGTAGTAATGCGGATTGGGGTCTTCACCGTGTATCCCCCCCCCCCTCCCTGAACCTGGCCAGCTCCTTCCCTGCCCCCGATTCATATCCCAGCAATATCCCTACACACACTCGGCCGAATACCTGTTTATCCCTTTCTGATATGTGTGTTAAAAGCAGCATGGTGCGGAATTCGGAGAGCCACTTTCCGCGCCTCGGAGACGGCTGGACCCTCATCAAGGTGGATCTTCTCATGCATCTCCCTGAGGCCATCAAAAGAGGGGGCCTTCCCCGCGAGTTCTCGGCTGCGGTGTACGAGAACGCCCACATCAAGACGTGCAAGGTCCCCTTCAGGGCGTCCAACCGCAGGCAGCATGCGATGGCTATCGCGCGTCACAACGCGACTGCAGCGCAGCTCACCCGTCTGCCAAGCAGCATCGAGCCCGCCAGGCGCTACGATACCGCAATGCAGCGGGTGAGAGAATGAGACTGTTGCCTTTGAATGCGAACGAGCCTTGCTTATGTGAACATATTGGGCCTTGTCTGGTGATAGGTCCCCTCACGGTCATTGTTTCTTATGAGCGTTGTTCTCAGCATCAAGCATCAGCCACACGCATCTGTGAATCCGTGCTGGTTGTATGATGATGCTTCATTGTGTACTGTTATCTGCCGCTCGTGAGCATAGACCACCACCTTCTTTGCTGGTCGTTTACTTTTAGAGCTTCACCATGGCCCGCCCATCCGCATTGTATATGTTGCTGCCCATGTCGTCTCTGATCTCTGCCCCCTCAAGTCTATCACCTGACATCGTGCCGGTTCCGTGCTAATCTGCCCCCCTTATGTTTGTGCGATCTTATGCTGCCTCTTTCATGTCCGTTTTGCTATGTGCTGGCCCCTTCCTATTTGTGACACTCTCTGCCGCCACTCCTGCGCGTGATGTTATCGGGTGCCCATCTTCATGCTGCTCTGTATTTTTTGCGTTGTACTCGACTGCTGCTTCCGGTTATGCTGTACTGAGATGCTGTGTATGTTCCGGCCCTGTACCCTCCTGCTGCTTCTCCTCACACCATTCTCTGCCGCTGCTGTTTTGTGATGTCTTCTGCTGTTGCCTCAGGCTATTGCGTTTGGCAGACCCCAGCTCAACAGGGCCAGGGCACGCATGCTGGGGAGAAGCAACTCCCCTGCTGGTCCGATGGACCTGTACAGTGCCTACAACGCAGCCATCGAAGATGGCATCGGGCCATATGCCTTTGTGATGCGCCAGCATGGCCTGGTGCCGTTCCCGGCGTGGGTACGTGTTGGTATGCCCATCATCGGTCTCGCCATATGCCGTTGATGGTTCCCTCCTCGTGTCTATGTAACTGCCACTAAACCCGAGCCCGTACAGTCCCTGTTCCCTGCTACGTATGCCGTACCTAGTCATTTGTGGTCCTGAGTGTGGTATTGTGCATGTGACATCCCTCCATCCCGAGCAGGTTCACACGGCGCTGGCTCTCCCTCCCCGTGAGCTCGACCACAGCATCATCAAGCCGCACTATGTGCATGCAGTGCTGGTCCTGCATGGCGAGGCGGTGTTCTCATTCGTCGAGTTCAAGGATGAACAAGGGGAGACCCTGCACGGTCGCGTCCATCTCCTCCTGTCCGTGGCGTCCGCGTGCGCCGACGAGGACGATGAGGACTGTGCGGTGGCCTTTGTTCGGCGCTGGATCCCGCAGGCCATCAACGAAGGCACGGGCTGCATGGTCATGCACCCTGCAGTGTTCGACAACGGGTACCACGTGGTGCCCATCGATGCAATTCAGAAGACCGTGCACATCGTGCAATCTTTTGAGCACCCCACTCGCTGGTTTCTGAACAAGTGGGCGGGCTGCTGCCGCGAGGAGCCCCGCTGAGCCTAGACGCCCATGTGTCACTGGACATGCGCTGGATTTTGAGCATGCGCGCGTGTCCAAATCTGATTGGATGATTGTGGGACGGAGTAGTGGTGGATGCAGGCATGAACATGCAAGTGGGCTTATTGCCCTGGTAATGTCGGCTGGGCTGTTTTTTATTAGTAGCTGCTCTCAGATTTCAAGTTTGCATGCCTCTCTGTCTCTTTGTTTCTGATTGTGAGACCTAATTTTGATGCTTTTATTTCAATTTTGTGTTGGCTGTTTTAGAATTCGACACTCTGTGAATAACTTTCAGAGAAACACTACAGCGAGTACAAATTGACGCGATTGTCAGGTTGGTTGACAGCTCTGGGGACAAACTCTGCGCAAGGGGTTGGATACAATGTGAAGGGGGTAAGATATGTTGACAGTGCGACAGTTGTGTTTTAGCAGTCCCAACCATTCCCCACCATTGTATCATGTTTGTCCGTACATTGCATTGGCAAGGTTGGCGGGGCATGGGTGGGGCAAGGTGGCCCTCGTGCATGGTTTTGGAGGCCTCAATTTTTTTAGAGGATGTTACTTTTCTCGGCGACGGGGCTAGTGCAATATCAGCATTCTCTCACTTTACCAAGCAGCTAGAGCAATTAGGCTTACGGCATAGTCCCGCTAAGTATGCGGCATGGTGCAACGGTAGCAGCTACGGTAGCATGACTGTTCCGCCGGGGGTCCCCTTCCGCGCTGACGGCGTACGACTGCTCGGTAGTTTCCTAGAAACTTCCACAGGCACCGCCACCTTTCTCACAGAACAGCTCCAGGACATGACGAAACCACTCCCGCTACTCGAACGCACAGACCCGCAAGTTACCTCCCTGCTACTAACCCGATGCATTTCACGCAGTGTGGCGTACCTGACTAGAACTACGCCGCTCAGCCTCCTACCGTTAGAGATGTGGTTGCAGTGGGGCATGAATCTACTCGCCACTCTCCTGGCAGCCTGCAATATCCGCGTCCCAACTAGCAATGACAAGCAAACGCGCGTTTGGAAGCAGGCCTCGCTGCCGCCTTCGCTAGGCGGGATTGGTCTTGCTGACCCGACTATAGAAGGGGTTTTTGTCTTCTGGCAAGATTCACACAGGCGGCTCTCCTACTTAGCTCTTTGCCACTACAACCAGACGGAGTCTTATGGTGGCGAAAAACCACATGCTGCTTCCACGGGATGCAGGCAACTCCCCACTTCATTCATGGTTGACGGAGTGCGAGCTAGCTCTCCCTGACCACGAGAGAGAGAGACACTGGAGAAGGAGAGACTGGGACCAGCTGGAATTAACTCGCAGCATGTGTTGTCGCTGAGTGTGCAAGGGAGCCGACATGCCGAGCAAGTAGACTAGGCGCATGAAACTGAACCCGCATGTTTTCTCTCACCAGATATGCCACAAGAGACTGGATGCACGCCATCCCCATAGCACCTACCCGGCGTGTTGGGCTAGAGCACTTCTCCAACGCGGTTCGCTTTTGTCGATCTGCCCTTCTCAACACCGGCCAAGTGCGCCTGTTCAGCTCAAATGGCCATTCCTGACCCAAGCCTTCCAAACCACCTCTTCCGCTGCGGCACGGGCAACCATCATATTAATACACACAAAAGGGAGTCGCGCTAGGGCTTCATCCACGACAAGTTTTTTGGGCTCAAGGGGCAGCCGGAGAAGAGTCCACAGCGCCTGGGCGGCGGCATCACGTACAAGCCCCTGCTCGTCCTTGTTCAGCTCGGGGGTTGTGGGACACGAGGTTCAGCCACTCTGGACCGCGATGAAGCTGCTCCAGCATAGTCGCCGCAAGGTGGGACAGACACTCCCCAGCGCCCATTATCCGTCGCTCCCAGCGCAAGATGTCTTCGACGATCGGAAAATCCCCCCACTGCCGACCCCATCGAGTCCCAGGAGTTGGCGGAGCCCCCCACCCGGATTGCTCCCACTAACCGTCCTCAGGATCAAATGCGCCAGCCGAGTGATAAGGTGAGTCCCACCCACGTGGGATAAGCTGCTGGGGAGGACGGAAGCGCGGGACAGGGGGCGGGACACACGGAACGAAATATTTTTTATGCTGCGGGAGATGGTCAGATAGGTCCATCGGAGGTGGAGAGCCGGGGTTGGTAGAGGAAGTCGTGGGCAATGGTTGAGACTGGGGCACAAGGGGTGCCAACACAGATGACGCCGGCTGCGGCAGAGATGGCGGAACCAGGGGTTGAGGCGGGGGCACATGAGGATCTGACACATATTGCACCAGCTGCTGAGGGGGTGGGGGAGGAGGAGGAAGCTGCGGGGACGGCGGCAGCGACGCCTAGGACTGCGCCTGCGGGGATGGCTGGGATTGAGGAGGAGGAGGTCACCGCTGCTGCTGCGGATGCTGCTGCTCCTGCTGCGGCTGTTGTTGCTACGGCTACTCCAGAGGGATTGAACGGCCCTACGGCCAGTAGGGCTGGTGGCGGGGACGACGGGATGGCGGAACGATTGTTCGCGGGGTCACAGATGGGGATGCGCCCGTCCGCGAGAAGAGCGATACACAGGCTTTACTAAACTTTACTTGCTTAATTCTGCCTTATTATGCATTGTTTAGCTTTATTTCATCTTGCATGCATTTGCTTGATTTCCTTGGTTCGTTGCTTTCCTATATTTATTATAGTTATAGGCACCGAACTAGGTTGAGTGCATCGAATTCTATGTTTAATTGCCTTCTACCGAATTCGGGAAGGACCCGTTCAAGATTATTCGTGACCCGCGGAACCTTCTAGTAACACTCGGGTTATTGCCTCGTCTTGTACCCAGGTGATCATATTATGATTTTTGAATTGGTTCCTTCGATCCTCAGGGCGCATTCTTAAGTTGGGACACCATCCAAAGTTCCCCCATGCACTTCGATATGTTGATGTGGCATTAATTTACATTTGAAAGTAGTCCCACGCAGTTCAACGTTTGGACACCATGAGTCCAACCGGCCACGGTCGCAATGCCTGGCGTGTCCGTCAATGTGTGACCATGGAAATCGTACCAAGTTTTGATGGCTGTGGGACTTTGGTGCTAGACATGCCACTTTCGTGCACATAGTCGTCAATACATATTTTCTTCCTGCCCACGAAATCCATTTCTGCGGTGCCTATGTGAACTTGCCAATATCACCCACGCTGACTTTATTTGACTACTGTGAAAAAGAATTATGAGAGGCGCAACCGTCAAGCTTGGCCGTTTAGGGTTTGCATGACGCTATTTGTCCAACACTTGGTATGCGAACTGGCGCCTCAATTTCATTGGGTATCTGACATGCGGCTCTGGCAACCTCTGTCGCTTGCCAAAATGAGGTTCGTTGGGCAGAGTGGGAGGTTTCCCACCAAAGACACCATCCGCTTCATAATAACCAGTATGGTGGGGGAAATTTGATGGTGTCCCAACTTGAGACCGCCCTCTCACACTCCCGGGAACCAGGTTGACTGCGCTGACTGCGTACGGGTCCGCCAATCACCTCGGCTTCAACCAGGTCAATGACGGCTCGGATTAGGGCTGGCACCTGGCCTCCCTGGTCCTCGGTGGGGGTGGCTTCGGCAGAACCGCTCGCCACGATCTCATGACGGGGGGAATACCGACGCTTGCTCGTCATTGTAGCAGGCACAAGATGGTGACGTGGGGGTGTGGGGCACGGGAGCGGATCAACAACTATAGGATACGGAGGAAGCAAAGTGTGAAGAAGCACCAAGGCCAAGCTAGGTCAATCCACCAAGACGACCTAGCACGAACCATCGGAGAAACCTTTGGAAACAGCTGGGGCCCCAAGCACTGAGAGGCGCACCGTCAAATACGGGAGGAGGTGGGCGAAGGGGAGAACGAGGGGGAGAAACCCGCGGAAGGCAGGCCCGAGGGGGAAGGGGCAGCGGAAATCAGTGAGAGAAAGTGACATTGCCGGCACGGGAGGCCAGAGGTGTTAGCTGAAATACATGCTCACAACCCAATGTCTGTTGTAGATGTAGGGGATGAGGAGGTTTCCCGAGAGGCAGAGCTGGGGGTGGCAAGCCAACGCACGGATCCAGGGCGAGGGAGGGCGCGAAGATTTGTGGCAGCAGAGGCAGAGGAACCAGAGATACAAGAAGACGATGAAGTCATCATCAAGGCCTGTTAACCAAATGAGATCGCGGAAGACGTGAACATGTGGCGGGGAATGGAAGTTTGGCATCTGGGACCACTCAACAGCAGCGCGTCCGGAAGTTTCCACCCAAAATATGGATGCTTTCAGCTACTGCCAGACAATACCACTGATGCGATTGTCAAAATATCCAAGCTGCTCAGGGGCTCGGTGCACGTTGTTTCTCCCGAGGCTAACACGCTCAGCAACTACGGGGCAACCTTCCAGCAAGTCTATGGTCTACGGTCGAAGCGAGACTTCAGCAGTTCCAGGAAGAGGAATGGGACTCGCTATAGTCACTAACCAGAACCATCCCATAGATCCCCCAACCGAGCAGAAATCAGCCAGACCAGGAAGGCATCTGCGCAAGAGCCAAAGGCTTGGTGCATAATGTGAACTTGACGAAAGCGATAGCAGCGCTGCAGTCGTCCCCACTCGTTGAGCCTTCGACGACCACCTTGGATTCCCGCAAAAAAAACACCCAGGCGCTGGGGTTGTGATCCACAATTGGGGTTACGGGTCACACATTGTCGCCGCTTACAACAATGGTGGATGGGCTACTCGAAGTACTTGCAAAATGCCCAAACGGAATTGGGGTGGGCCCATTTGGGACTTGTTGTGAACACCTTGACAACCTTGCTTTAGAAAACGGGGAGGTACTCACGCCGCTGCATAAGGTCATTAATGTACTACTCGGCACATACCAGGATGAACCCCGGCTCCCGTCTAGAATGATAGTTCTAGAAAAGACGGGAGGAGGCGTGCGGCCTATTGCGATTGGTGAAGCGCTGCTTTGATTGACTGCAAAGGCAGCACCCTGCGAGCTGTCGGGACCGATTTGGTAGTTCTTCCTC